CCCAAAACCCCAAAACCCCAAAACCCCAAAACCCCATTTTAAGATAAATAAATTGAGTGATGGGTTTTAGTATTCGTCAGCTAGATCATTCCAGAGACTTTCTTCCTTCAGATCTGTAGCTAGGTGCTTTACTTGGGTAAGAGTCTGGTCTTCACAATGGAGTGTGATTGTTCTATTGAAGTATTTTACCATAAAGGCTTTCGTGTTAGAAATTAAGGCTTCAGTGACTTCTCCGTCATAGGTGATGGTTATGTCCAGTACCGGATATTTTGATAGAACTTGGAGCAGCTCAAGCAAATCCTCTTCAAAAGCAACCTTGAGGTTCAGCTTGTTGATATATCTAAAGGGATGGATGACAATATTACCTTTGATTTGAAATTGGACCTTCAGAAGCTGAACTTGACTTGAACAAGTTATTAAGAGCATGGGCTCTTTCTTTCTCCATATAATAGAAACTACTAATAGAATCAATCTTTAGATATGAATAATCTTTGGTGAGGAGATCAAAGAAAATACTCAAGTCTTTAACCATTAAGCTTGTGCCAATGTCAATTTCGACTGAACAAGTTTTCTGGATTATTTGAGTATTTGGCCCATTAGGAGGAGGCAATATTGGCCACGATTCATATTCTTTTAAAATTTTCTCAATTCTTTCAATACATAAATTATTCAGCAGTTCCTTATCTGTAATGTTCTTTAAAATAACTGGATCATTGATCAGCACCTTCTGAAGATCCTTGACATTAAATACTATTCCATAGCTAGTCACCAAATCAGGGGGATAAGGAGAGAACATCCCACTTGGCATATACTCGTCAATAATATCCATCAAGTCCAAATCAGGTCCCTTTGTCTCCTCCTTGACCAGCTCTCCATAAAACTGATCAACAATATTAACATAAACAAAGCCATCGTCGAGCAGTACCATCTCAGTCTCCTTGCCAATATTAAATGCGCAATCTTTAAAAACCACATGTTGCACTTTGTCATCTTCAATGACGTTCAGAGATGCTGTTTTGACCTTTATACTCTCCTTGATCTTCTCTGTGTCAATAATCACCTTAGAGTTAAACTGCTTTAACAAATTCAGCAGATTTATTGGTAAGAAGCCTAAATTTGGTAACATAATCTTACAAATAGTCTCTGTGTCTACTCTGATTAGATCTGCTCCAGGCATCTTTTTGTTCACGTTTACAATAATTTCTTCCAAACTTGATTCTGTTATCTGGACAGAGGCATCTCTGCCCACACTCAATAGTACTTCTTTCAGGTTTCTGTTTTGGTCTTTTGTGAAGGTATGCACATTCTTCAGTTTGTCTATGTACTGTTCTCCCAAATGAATGTTATACACAGTTTTGCACTGGAACTCGAGCGATTCATGTCTCTTTCCTTTAGAAATAAACTGACTTGGTATCTCTGTAATCCTACTATCTATAGAAAAGAGTTGATCGCTTCCAAAGAAATATTACCTAGCACATAGACTCCGTTTTGGTCTGAAGAATAGGTAAGGGTTGGAAATTGGAATAATGAAGGGATTTTGAGAACTTTGGTAGTCCCCCAATTTTCCTGCTTCATTTCAGACACAAGTTCAGGCTTATTAATACGTCTATAAATTTGTTAGAAGAATTATTGATGTAAAGAGGGATATTAAGTCATTGTAGAGAGTAGCTTTGCTACTCTCTACAATAGGTTTAATCTATTCTACTCATGCTAATGCTGTTTTCCATCTTTCAAAACAATTTTTAAAATAGAAGTTTTTTTCTAAAGTTTTAAATTTTGGAATGATTTGTTCCTATCCTTGGGTAAATGGCTTCTTAGAATAACTATAACCCTTTAAATACAAAATGGTAACTTTATTGAGGTAACTAGAAGCTAAGATATTTTATTCGTGAATATAAAAGAAGGTTGAATTTCAAATTTAGTAGAAATTTATCACAAAGTGATCATAGAGAATTAATATTTAGTTTTAATAAATTTCAAGCGAGCTCATTTTCGGCTAGAAACAATCAAAAACTATTAGCTTATTCATGAGTTTTTGAGAGGTATTCTAATTCTTATGAAATTTACATCGTCATTAGTAAAATTTATACTTTCTTCAATAAAAGTCATCAACCTAGTCTCTTTGTTTAATTAAAAATAAGCTATAAGCGAGCTAAAAAGATAGTAATCAAAGCAAATCTTGCTTAAACATCTAAATGCTGTCAAATTTGCAATACATCTAAGTTAAGTACTTTCCCATGATCTCTATGCTACCAAAGTTTCTTCTTACTCAAGAAAAATTGTAATGAACTCTTCTGCAACAACACCGGAAAGGCTTGGGAGGTAAACCTAGCATTAATTATTCCTCACAAAACTTACCTTTGTGATTTCAATCAGGTTTGCTTTTCAAATACTTCCATCCTAAAACAAATTTGTTACTTCCTATTCATTACTTAAAAAAAATGCATTATAAATAAATTATAAAGAACAAGTAAATCCGTAGAACCAAGTGCTTTCCAGTCAGCCAAAGACTCTATCTCAAAATTATCTATAAGCTTTCCCATCTCAGAAGCCGCCAAGCCGATTAGGCAACCAATCTGGAATATTCAAAAATACCTCAGAATTGGACAGGAACTCATCGAACATCTTGAAATCTGCTGTCTTCCTGAACCAGAGTTCAATCTTAAACATAGAATATCTCCTATTCTGGTTCAAATATTGGTATATTCTTGCATCTATATCCAATATCAGAGATGGAGAATTCTTTGCTCCCCTGAGCATTACCATAACTTGGTTTTAAAATTTGTATGAGTTAAGCTGAATGATGTCTTGGGATATTACCATCAACACGAATGACTCTCTTGACCTGAGCCAAATGTTTGAACCACTTCTGAATATTATCCATATCCTTCCACAAATGTCTCGACTGGCTCCTCAACTGTGACATCAACTGACTACACTGGTCTGCGTACCCGTAAAAAGGAAGGATCTCATTGGTAATGCCAAGATTAGTGAACAGAGTTCTCGATACTCTCGAGTCTGACCGAGGCAGAATGGATTCCATTGATGGTTTAAATATTTATAAAGAAAAAGGGGTTTTGGGGTTTTGGGGTTTTGGGGTTTTGGGG